TTTATATTTGAATCATAGTCACATGGTTCCTCTGCTAAAACAGCAACCCGTTGGCATTCTACAATGTGGCATTGTGACATCATGTGCAATGCCTTAATTCCATATTCTAGGATTACACATGATGTCAGAATGCCACAATACCACATCGTAGAATTTTGCATTGTGGCATTCCGACATTACACATGATGTCACAAAGCCACATTCTCTCTTGTGGCATTGTGGCATTATAAAATCACACAAGATGTCAAAATGTTAATATTTGTTTAAAATTGTTTACATGTTTACTTTGGAATCAAAGTCACATGGTTTCTCTGCAAGGACAGCAACATGGTTGAATTCTGGAATGTGCCATTATGACATCACGTGTTATATCTTTTTTTTTACATTCAACAGGAAGACACATTATGTCACAATGCCACAAAGCCACCATCTAGGAAACTTGCAATGTGGTACTCTGACATTACACATGATGTCATATAGCCACATTCTCTCGTATGGCATTGTGACAATATGACCTAATATGTGATGTCAGAATGCTACATTCTAGAATGTGCTATTGTGCTATTGTGACTTTGTGTGATGTTATAATGTTAAATTTTTTTTAGAATTGTTTACATTTGAATCATAGTCACATGGTTCCTCTGCTAAAACAGACACCCGTTGGCATTCTAGATTGTGGCATTTTGACATCATGTGTGATGTCTTAATTCCACATTCTAGGATTACACATGATGTCAGAATGCCACAATACCACATCGTAGAATTTTGCATTGTGGCATTCCGACATATCACATGATGTCACAAAGCCACATTCTCTCATGTGGCATTGTAGCATTCTGCCATCATGTGTGATGTCACAAAGCCACATTCTCTCTTTTGGCATTGTGGCATTACAAAATCACACAAGATGTCAAAATGTTAATATTTGTTTAGAATTGTTTACATGTTTACTTTTGAATCAAAGTCACATGGTTTCTCTGCAATGACAGCAACATGGTTGAATTCTGGAATGTGCCATTATGACATCACGTGTTATATCTTATTTTTACATTCAACAGGAAGACACATTATGTCACAATGCCACAAAGCCACCGTCTAGGAAACTTGCAATGTGGTTCTCTGACATTACACATAATGTCATAAAGCCACATTCTCTCATATGGCATTGTGGCAATGTGACCTAATATGTGATGTCAGAATGCTACATTCTAGAATGTGCCATTGTGCTATTGTGACTTTGTGTGATGTCATAATTTTAAAACTTTTTTTAGAATTGTTTATATTTGAATCATAGTCACATGGTTCCTCTGCTAAAACAGCAACCCGTTGGAATTCTAGAATGTGGCATTATGACATCATGGGTGATGTCTTGTTTCCACATTCTAGGATTACACATGATATCAGAATGCCACAGTGCCATATAGTAGAATTTTGCATTGTGGCATTCCGACATTACACATGATGTCACAAAGCCACATTCTCTCTGGTGGCATTGTGGCATTATAACATTACACAAGATGTCAAAATGTTAATATTTGTTTAGAATTGTTTACATGTTTACTTTTGAATCAAAGTCACATGGTTTCTCTGCAAGGACAGCAATCTGGTTGAATTCTGGAATGTGCCATTATGACATCATGTGTTATATCTTATTTTTACATTCAACAAGAAGACACATTATGTCACAATGCCACAAAGGCACATTCTAGAAAATTTGCAATGTGGTACTCTTACATTACACATGATGTCATAAAGCCACAATCTCTCTCATGGCATTGTGGCATTATGACCTAATATGTGATGTCAGAATGCTACATTCTAGAATGTGCCATTGTGCTATTGCGACTTTGTGTGATGTCATAATGTTAAATTTTTTTTAGAATTGTTTACATTTGAATCAAAGTCACATGGTACCTCTGCTAAAACAGCAACCCGTTCTGTATTCTAGAACGCATTCTAGAATGTGGCATTGTGACATCATGTGTGATGTCTTAATTCCACATTCTAGGATTACACATGATGTTAGAATGCCACAATACCACATCGTAGAACTTTTCATTGTGGCATTCCGACATTTCACATGATGTCACAAAGCCACATTCTCTCATGTGGAAATGTGGCATTTTGACATCATGTTTGATTTCACAAAGCCACTTTCTCTCTTGTGGCATTGTACATTACACATGTAACATTACCCATGATGTCATTATGTCATTATTTGTTTAGAATTGTTTACATTTTTACATAAAAATCATAGTCACATGGTCCCTCTGCAAGAAGAGCAACCCGATGGCTTTCTACAATGTGGCATTATGACATCATGTGTAATGTTTTTATTCCACATCCCAAAGGATGAAACAAGATGCAACAATGCCACATTCTAGAATTTTGCATAGTGGCATCCTGACATCACACATGATGTCATAAAGCTACATTCTCTAATATGGCATGGTGGCATTATGACATTATGTGTGATGTAGTGGCAGCTGCTGGTCCTTCAAGGAAGGGAAGCTCATTTTTCAGGCCTACATCATAATTGTGTTTGTTTATTGGTATGTACCAGAACAGAGTCGCCAAACACAACGGCAGTCGTTATTAACAAAGACAAAAGTCACTAAGGATCGAGAAAGTCTCCGGAGCAGTTAAAAACAACGGAATGAATAACTTGGAAAATGCTTTGGTAGATGTTTTATTCTTCAAGATCGCTGATTCGCTTGTTTAGCTGTCAATCAAAAAAGGATTTCGCCTCAGACAGCTCATCCAATCATGGATGCAGAAGCTCAGCGTCCGCAAGCGACATGTTGCATGTCTGGTTGGTCTGGGAGGTTCTGTAGAGGCCTGGCAGTGAGAGACTTAGGATGGGAGTTCCGTCTCAGGCATAGCTTGGCCCAAGCTTCGTCCGACCCAGACTATATCTGAAATGAAGTGAGATCAGAGAGAGGCGGAGGTAGAGAGGTGGTAGAAGCATTAATGTTAAAGGGAGAGGGAGGGAGGGTGGTTCAGAGAATTGCAGACAAACGGAGTGTAGTGGGCTGGCTGTGTATAAATATGCTAGTCAGGTGATTGAAGGTGTGGTGAGGCGTGGTCCTGCTCCTGAACCTTAGTTAATACATTAGCTTCATATAAAATTGTTTACACGTTTACATTTGAGTCAAAGTCACATGGTTCCTCTGCAAGAACAGCAAACCTGTAGCATTCTAGAATGTGGATAATGACATCAGTTATGATGCCAGAATGCCACAATGCAACATTCTAGAATGTGGAACTGTGGCATTCTGACATCATGTGTGATGTCACAAAGCCACATTTTCTAATATGTCATTGTGGCATTCTATCATCATGTATTATGTCATAAAGCCACATTCTAGAATGTGGCATTATGACATCATGTGTTATGACTTCTTCTAGGATGACACAAAATATCACAATGCAACAAAGCCACATTCTAGAATGTGGGATTGTGGCATTCTGACGTCATGTGTGATGTAACAAAGCCACATTCTAGAATGTGGCATTGTGGCATTATGACATCATTTGTGATGTCATAATATTAACATATTTTAAAAATTGTTTACACGTTTACATTTGAGTCATAGTCACATGGTTCCTCTGCAAGAACCAGAATGCCACAATTCAACATTTTAGAATGTGAAACTGTATGGAGGACCAAAAATAACATAAGTAGAAATAAATGAATAAATAAATGGATAAATAAAAAATTTAATACATGAATAAATAAATAGATTAAATAATTTTTGAAAAATACTTTTTTAATTTTTTGCCTAATTTATTTTATATTTAATTTTATTTATTTATTTATTTTTTCTTTTATTTATGTATTTATTTAATTTACAAATATTTATTCATTCATTTATTCACTCATTTATTTATTTAATTCCACATTTATTCTTTTTTTTTTTACATTTATTTATGTGTCCGTGTCAGACGTGTCGCACTGCACTGTAAATATGCAAATAAGGTAGGCAGACCTATGTTCGTCTAAAGCCCGTTTGGTCACTAGGCATGCCAGACAGAAGCAAACCTAATCGATCCCATGATGGACCTTTTTCAATATCGCAGCCACTTGGAGTTGCATACTAGCTGCTCCCCGAAGCTCAGTAGTAGGTCATCACAGCTGTGTGTCAAGTTTTCTTCGGTTGCACAGACTCCAGCTGTGTCCAAAGGTTTTCTGACAAGGTAAAAAGAAACCGTGTCATTTTGGGTGGCTAGTTTTGTTGCATCTTATGTAGCCAAACACACGAGATTTCAAGGCTGTGTCGGTCAAAATAATTGCGGTTGTTTGTCAATCTCACAATGTATATTCGGAGGATTAAATCCGAGCGAGTACACCATGGGATGCAGAAGCAAGCAACAGGTGTGACTGCTACCCAGGGCGGTGCCTTCATTTCCCACAACCTCATCAGGACCGCTTTCAGCCCCTCCTGCGCCCCGAGACATGGCCACAGAGCAGGCAGAGAGGTCCTGCGCCACGGAAACGGCAACCATGCACTGTTCACACCGAATGCAAATTTGCGTGTCGAGGTTACATAATGTCAATGCAGAAACGCGTTTGGACGCAAATTCAACCCGAGCGACATGGTGGACGCATAGGTCTCATTTATGACTTATGTAGATCATCTACTATGATTGAAGTCACGAGAAAAGTTGCTTAAGAGGAGCAAGTACCACGGCCTTTATAGTCCTTAAAGCCTACCATGGGTATAGTAGTTTACTAAAACACGAACAGAAAATAAACACTGATAATGCCTACAGAATCTGTAAATCACAGTAGGTGTGGGGTTTTCATTGGCATGTGCAGCAACTATACTATGCCAGCAGAGGTCGTGCTTCACCACCAATCTTCTAGGATTTCCAACTTGTGCAGCCGTGTTGAGGCTGTGGCAGTGGGCAGTCGGATGCCACTTCGCATTTCTGATGCAGCCATTGTCCACAAGGAACATGCTATTTTTGCAAAATTTGGCATATTGGCAAAATTACTTATTTATTTATGGTTCGTTTTAGTTTGTGTATTATCACATTTTTGCCATTTCGTTTGTGTTTCTAAATGTTTGTCTGTGTTCTGAAACAGGTGTATGGGAAGCCTTTGAAATGTGGCTTCACAGGAGATGGGTTGTGAGGAGCTGATGCTGTGGAGACCAGCTCTTTTAAACCACCTTTACTGGACTTCCACCTCTCCCACTCCTAACAGAGATCCAGATGTAATGGAGGCCAAGTGGGAAAGCATCGTCAACCATGTTGAAGTCATCAACGAACATGGCACATCTGTGTTTCCAACCTTTGCACATCCGCCATATGGAAGGAGAAGCAAGGAACATGCATTGTCCAGAACCAGGTACAAAATATTAAAACTTGATTGTTAATTATCTGTGCACAGGGTTTTAATGGGTAGCTTTATGAAAAAAAAAAATTAGAAATAAAAGTTTTTATTTATTTTGTAGTTGTCTCCATAATCATAACAAAATGTGTCTATATACAGGATCAACCAGAACTGTGAGTTTCTGTTTATCGGCATTACACCTGATGTCATTTAAAATCTTTAAAAGGGCTGTCTCGGTACTGTGGTTCATCCTAAAACTGGATTGATACTTCTCTAAGATATTATTACTTTTTAAGAAATAATTTACTTGGTTAAAAACCAGTCTTTCTAAGATTTTACTTAAAAACGGTAAGTTGGATATGGGTCGATAATTATTAAAAACATCAGTATCCAAATTTCTCTTCTTCAGAAGGGGCCTCACCACTGCCGTTTTAAAGGCGGTGGGGAAGACCCCTGTCTGAAGAGAGCAATTTACTATGATTAAAATCTGTTCCTCAAAAAATTCGTAAAATGTTTTTAAAAATGATGTGGGAATCAGATCTAAAAGGCAGGTAGTTGGATTTACTTGGGAGAAAACTCGACCAAGTGTCCTTGCGTCAACCAGGGCAAAACTCTCCAATGTTTCCTCAGGTAAAATCGGCTGTTCAGATGTATCAAAAATCACATTCTGATGAGTTAAAAGACTAGATCTAATATCATCAATTTTACTCCCGAAGTGGTCTGCAAAGTCCTCACAGAGGGCGTCTGTGGGGGTCTTAAAAGATTTTTTAAAATGGGAGTTTGTTAAAAGATCGATGGTGGAAAAGAGGAATTTGGAATTGTTTTTATGGTCTGTGATGAGTTTTGAAAAGTGGGCTGTTCTTGCCTTTTTTACTGCATTGTTGTATTTTTTGAGTGAGTCCTGTAGTATTTCAAGGTGAACTGTTAATTTGTTTTTTCTCCATTTGCGTTCGGCACTCCTGCATTTTCTCTTTGTGTTTCTGATTTCATAGTTTTTTCTCCATGGGGGTAAGGGTTTTGTTTTAATAGTTTTAATTACGGGTGGAGCCACTGTGTCCAATGTGGTTTTTAATGTACTGTTAAAATGGTCCACAATAAAATCGCATGGTGCAGGTAAAATTGCGGCAGGAGTGCTCTGTAAAATCCCAATAAAATTTGCAGCCACTTCAGGGGTTAGGTAGCGTTTCCTCACCGTTCTCACCGGGGCCTACTGATGGTTAAAACTGGTGATATTAAAATACACACAGTAGTGATCCGACACAGCCAGGTCGACAACAGAGGACACACCAGTGGATAGGCCGGAAGTTATGACCAAATCCAGGGTGTGCCCTCTGTTGTGAGTCGGCTGTGCCACGTGTTGTTTAAAACCCATGCAATTTAAAAGGTTTAAAAACTCCTTGGACATTGGATCAGACGCTGTATCAGTGTGCAAGTTAAAATCACCAGTTATTGAAATCCTGTTATGGGTAGTATGTAAGATGGATATTAGTTCAGAAAATTCGCTGATAAAAGAGTTGGAGTAATGGGGTGGTCTGTAAATTGTAATGCAGAGAGTAGGAGGACTGCTAAAAACAAATGCGTGGTATTCAAATGATGTAAAACTGTTAAAAGAAACTTCATTTGGGCACAGTGTGTTTTTAAATATTGAGGCAGTGCCTCCTCCCTTTCTACCCCCCCTTGTTGAAAATAAAAAATTAAAATTAGGGGGGCAAGCCTCGGTGAGAACAATTGAAGCATCAGTGCTAAGCCATGTCTCTGTTAAAAGGACAATGTCTAAATTATTGTTTAAAATCAGATCATGAATGATAAACGTCTTATTTAAAAGCAAGCGCACGTTCAGCAGGGCCAAATTAATGTTCGTGCCGAGCGTGTGCTCATCTTCAGAAAGTGGTGAGATGGGAGCCAGTGTGACAGGAGTCAGGTTGATGGTCCGTGAAGGGAATGGTCTGTGGGCTCGGTGTGAGATTCTGACTGGGATGCAGGATATGGGGGTGAACTGTGAGTGAAGTGTTGGTGAAACTGACTGTATACAGGCAGAGGATGAGATTGGAGGAGAACTGGCAGTGGTATGGTGTAGTACTGGGGGTGGACGGTAGGGGGGGCTGGTGGTGGCGGTAGTGGCTTGGGACAGTGACACAGAGGAAGAGGGGGAAATCAGTCACGTGTGTGTGTCAGGTGTGTGTGAGGGTGTGTGTGTAGGTGTGTATGTGGACTGGACAGCATGGCGAATGTTGTCGCCGAGCACCCTGCTGCCCAGGCAAGAGGGGTGGACTCCGTCAGCCTTGTAAAACGGGGAGCGGTTCCAAAATAAGTTAAAATTGTCAATAAAACGGAACCTGCAAGGGCAGGTGGAATGGAGCCAGGTGTTCAGGCTGAGGAGTCTGCTGAAGCGCCCCATGCCACGGTCGAAGGAGGGGAGGGGCCCCGAAATAAAAACAGACTTACTGCAGTCGGTGAGAACCTTAAAAAGTTTCTTAAAATGGTCCTTAGTCACCTCAGACTGACGGGAGGAAGTGTCGTTAAAACCCAGGTGTAAAACCAGCCTCGTGATGGAGGATGGGAGTGAGCCCAGCAGCTCCGGGAGTTTATGGAGGAGAGTTGGGACAGTGGCGCCTGGGAAGCAGTGGGTTACTGCATTAAAAAAAACGGATGTGTCTCAGGATGGAGTCTCCGATGATTGCCGTGGTCGGTGGGAACAGTGGGCGAGGATGCGGCGGTGGCAGTGGTACGCAGGTGGGAGCCGGAGAACCTCTGTTCCCAGCGGAGTGCCTTCGCAGAGGTTCCCCGAACGGTCTGCACCGGGTCGAGGAGTTTGCGTGACGGGGGGGAGGAGGGGGGCGCCGAGGCCCCGTGTGCATACCTCCGTTCACCTCCTCGTTCCCAGCAGAAGACGGAGGTGAGGCTGCACTTCGTCCGGCATCAGCTGGGCCCGGATCTGGCCTTCCTGGCAGCGGAGGACAATCCGCAACACTGAGTACATCGTACCTCGAGGACAGCTGGAGATCGAAGTGGGATTTCAGTCAATAAAGTATATCTATCTATCTATCTATTTTGGTGTGCCAGCTGCCTCTTTGGGTGGCACTGGCACACCCGTGGCTCTGTCATTGGTTTGTGTGCATTTCACACTTTGTGTGTGCTTTGTGGATTGCACACAATTTTCATTTCCACAGGTTTAGCGGTCAAAAAAACAGTACAATCCTTCTGGCCCTGGGTCAATTTATACTGCTTTCATACTGCCTTATCCGCGTTGATGCAGGACACGGGCGACTCAACTCTGCGCAGCAGTTGGTCACTTCAAGCAAACGCGGGTCAGACCTCCCGCTGTGTGAGCTGCGTACCTGTTGTTTTTTTTTTTCTCAACAGACGTCAGCACGTTGAAGCCTAGTAGTTCAGGGTTGAACCACTAGGGCTAAGGGCTATTGGGGGAAATGGGGAACTGTTTTGTTTGTATATGAATCAGGGTTTAGTTATATTCTGACATTGTTTGTTGCCTGACTGTCGCACTTTCCTGATCCCAGCCGAGGTTTCAAGAATCTTTGGGCCATACTCAGGCAGAGGGAGAAGGCCAATGGCAAGGCATCAATCCCCGGCTGTGTCTACTCAGCTGTTCACATACACCCACAGTTTCTGCTGTCTGGACAATAAGAATATATCATTAGTTCCCAATCGATTCTCCAAACAAAGACTCACAGCTGATGGCTTGGGGGATAAACGGCTCACGTTTCGAGGTATGCAAGGCATGATTACAGTTTACACTCAGTTTTGTTGAAATGATTTTACTTGACACCTAACACACATATAAGAATGGATTACCTGGAAGTAAACTTTTACCTGGTTACTGTATTTATACATAAACCAGCCTCTGTAAAGGGCTATTGTTTATGAAACAAAAAACTTGGTCTCACCAAAGACACCAACTGTTATCTCCCCTACCTTCAGGAAGGAGATTCAGGACATTAAGAATGAACACATGGCAGTGAAGTGTATTAAACCTCTCCCCAATGTAATGTGTAATTTCACATGTGGTTTTTATACTTGGCTGTCTTCTTTTTGTCCAGGGGTCCAGACAAGTCCTGATGAGTTCAAGGAGTTCCTGTTTTCAGCGTTTCGCAAACTGAGAGAGGGGAGCAGGTTTGAACTGCTGAAAATAAATGGAACTACTAGAAGTATGGAATATCTGTATTAAGTACTGTCTAATCTGTTTGATTCTGGAATATATAAGACATCATAGGGCTAATACAGCCACACAAACATCTATGTCGATTCGTATTCAGTTTGTGTTTATCTTACATTCAAACATGGATTGTATTGTATGTGATAATTATTTTTCTTTGCAGACATATTGTAAGGTTCAATAGCGTTGGCATAGCCATGGCTCATGGGGATCCAAATATTTTTTAAAAATATAATCAAAAATTGTTTTGTATGAAAATTTTTTCTCAACAGATTTCTCAACCCGGATGCAGCAGTGACCTTATTGGCCCACCTCAGAAGTGCATATCATGTGGGGAAGAGTTCCCGTTTTCTGAAATTAAGGAGCATAGTGATGTGTGCATGAGGTATGGTTCCACAGAGCTTACTCATTTTGTACACATGTTGCATGTGTAGTCATACATCAGACATGATAGCCTACAAGCAGACAACTTTTGTAGAGCATCCTGATGGTGTGTTCCTATCCGTGTTTAGGATCCACCTTGTACTGTAGAGTGTGTGTGTGTGTGTGTGTGTGTGTGTGTGTGTCTGTCTGTCTGTCTGTGTGTGTGTGTGTGTGTGTGTGGGGGGGGGTATGACAAGCTGCATGTGTTTAAAATTGGTGCCAATTTGTCTTTTTCGATTTAGACTAAGGCTGTAGAAGCAAAAATACTGGATTAAATTACCTATGATACCGTGGACAGAGATGTAAACTCAACAGATACACAGAAGCAGGAATTGAAATGAAACAATATTTTCATTGTGTCACAGAAATCAATGTGTCGGCCGTGTCGCCGGCTTGCGGAACCCCGGCCCGCGGCAGCCCGTCCGCCGGCTCGGAGTCGTCGGCCAGGACCAGCGGCATTCGGGCCACCCCGGCCCCCGGCCCCAGCACCAGCATCAGCACCAGCGCGCAGACAAGCGGTGGAGCGTCCACCAGCCGCGGCGCTTCCGCTGGACCACCCGGACGCAGTGGAAGGGTCCTCGCGGAGGGGGTCTTGCAATCGCAGGAAGAAATCATCAGGGGGATCGCGGGGATCAACGAGCGGCTGGACCGGCTCGTAAATGTCCTCGAGCGTCTGGTGGAGAAAATAAATTAATTTGGCTCATTGAACTGTGTATTCACTTCTTACCCATTCACACTGTGGCGATGAGATTCTCCCGCGCGAGGACGGCGGCCCGGCAGGGATCAGCTCGCATCCCTCCGTCTGCTGCTGGTTCGTCATGTGGGGCGACGTGCTGCTCGGCCACGGGGATGTGGTGCACGCTTGTCACATAGTGAGTCACCAAACACCGCCACACAGCGTCGCCAAAGTGCGAATCACAGTCAACGCAAGTATCGGCTCAACGCCAATTTCTACACCACCTCCTGACTTTGCGTTGATTAGCGCTGGAACCGATGCTCGTTTCGCGATGATAAATCTGGATGTGTGCGCGATTTTGGCGTACGCAAGGTTTTCTTGCGCCGCAAGCGTTGATACATAAGGCCCCTGGTCTGTTACCAGAAATTTTCACATCCATATAAATATATACGTATGTGAATTAATTAAATGTCTTTAGATTGGAAAACAAAGCCAGATTCAGAAAAGGCAGCAAAACTATACAAGGAAGAACTTTTGAATCTACACGCTACTGGAAAACCTCTGAGTCTGACCATGGATGTTGGAGACAGCGTGGAGGACAGAGAATGAGAAATCCTTTGCTTTTACAAGATTTTCCTATAACTTAAACACTAAGGGGTAAATGTGATTACTGCTTAAAAAAAATGGCCAAAATTATGATACATGTAATTCCAATAATACATATATATTGTCTTTACTGTTAAACCGAATTTTAAAAATTACAGTTTCTTCAATAGCAGCTAGCCAAATTTCAATAAAGGTTTTCTGTCCAGTGATGAATGTATTTTGTGTTTTGTTTCCTTAGGAGATCCAGCAATTTGTGATGGTGTGACACGCCATTTCTTTGCTACCATCATGGGCAAAATTCAGCGTGGTTTTGAATCCAGTACGTTTTTTTATTGTATCCATTTCTTTAATATATAAAGGGGTCTAATGATACCTCAGTGCTTTATTGCAGAAGAATATCTATTCCATGACTATTTACGTGATTTTGTGCTCTCTAATTTCAAGTTCCAGGAGCAACCCTTTTGTTTGAGGGTGAAGAAGATCACCTTACTCCCTCCACTTCCCAGCTCCTTTTGGAGAGCGACATGTTTGTTATTGCAGGATGACTGATAGGTCACTCATTTCTTCATGATGGTCTATGCCTCTACAGCCTGAGCCCTGCAATTGTGCATGTGCTCTGTGGTGGATCCGCAGAGGAAGCGACAATTGAACTGGAGGATTGTGCGGACCTTGATATCCGAGAGACTATCAAATTGGTAAGATTGTGTTTTCACAATATGAAGTACCTGGAATCCTGAAAAAAACAGAAATTATTTTTTATTGTAATTAGTACCTGTTCCCTTCAATAAAAGCCAGTATTAATTGTTGGTCTTAATTTGTCATTATAAGCTGAGGGGCACAGCAGAACTTACAATGGACGACAAACAGTCCATCAATGACTTGGCACTCTCGTGAGATTTCCCAATCATAACACTCGACAACAGGAGATGGCTGTTCGACAAACTGCTCCTCCATGCTGTGAGTATTCTGTAATTAAAATTACTTATACATATAATGACTGTTCAAACTAAAAGTGCTCATGTTGTGATAGTTAAATCTTGTTTTCTTTTATTCAGACAAGTGAGTAGATGTGTAAAGTGTAGCCAAGATGTATACCTAGATGCATACTTTGGCTATGGGCGACCTCAGGTCACCAGCAACCTGAGGCGACCGAGGTCACCAGTGACCTGTAGTTACGGCAACTACAGGATGCTTGTCCTGGGCTACAGGACGCGCGTCCAGAGGTCACTCATAGTCGCTTGTCACCATTGACTTTGCATTGAAATTGGTCGCCAACGACCTGAAGTCGCGTTTGGTGTGAACATGGCAAAAAGATGTCACCTGCTGGACAGTTTCGACTCCAGTCTTCCTCAGAAGCCCAACAGCTTGACAGGCTCAGATCGGTCTGTCGAGCCATGGAGTGGATTGTTGACAATTTTGTTGTGATTAAAATATTTTGCAGGTCCTTGTACGAACCTCTAGGCAGGTTAAGCAGCTTAAAAGGGGTCTAAAGGAGACAATGATATGGCCTTTGGAACAGCAGAGGAAGGATACAATTACTCTCCTTTTTCCAAGGATCACTGCAATGCAGTACACTCCACAAGAAAATGCACAAACTCAAACAATCCCATGTTGTCTTATTTTGTACTTGAAGGTGAACCAATATCTTGCTGTGGTTGCAGTCCATTGTTAAAGCTTTAAGGCTTAAAATTGCAGTAATTGCATCTCTTCTCCATTCACTACATGAACACACTGAACATACCCTTTCGACAATCTCATTTTTATACGTATGAAAAAACAGGTGATATTGATCAATTAAAATATTGTTACAGATGGTGTTGGAAAAGATACAGTGGCCAACTGAGTATGCAAACGAAGACAGTGATGTGTCTTTGGGTCTTTGGAAGACGCTTGTCGGGTCACAGGCTTCATGAGGACATTTATCAAAAATGGTAATCAACAGACATAACATTGTTTCAATTATAAAAAAAACAACAAAAAAAAAAAAAAACCAAGATTATGCGAAATTAAAAATGTTACCAGTATCCACATTTTTGTTTTTAATCTGTCCAATTTTTTTTTTTTTTTTAGTGTTTAGCACTTTTCTGGTGACCTCCTTTCCTCTTCTCCACTTCTCCCTCTGTCCTCCTCCTCTCCTCCCATCCTCAATTCCATTACCCCTCCTTTCCTCCTCTCCTAGAGCCACACAGTGTGTAAACAAAAACCTTTATGTCCTTGATGAATAATCCTCATGGGTGGGGGGGTGGGGGATTGCATAGAACCTTACTTGGGGTGGAGCCGTTTTGCTCAATTGCACAGCACAAAAGAGGTCAAATTTTGTTGTGGCACTATTGCTTGCAAAAGTACAGTTTTTACAAAATAATTTAAATTATTTAACTGAGAACTGTATTTTTTTCTCTCTTAGCTTCTTCAGAAGTTCTCAGCAACCTACTGTGCTTCTGGCTTGGATGGAATGTTCTACCAAGAGAGTTCGGACAATGAAGTTGTGGAGACCACCTTTTTCAAGTCATCCACCTGTTTTATGCAGTTGAAAACACCAGGGGCCTTATGTATCAACGCTTGCGGTGCAAGAAAACCTTGTGTACGCCAAAATCGGCGCACGCATCCAGATTTATCATCGCGAAATGAGCGTCGGTTCCAGCGCTAATCAACGCAAAGTCAGGAGGTGGTGTAGAAATTGGCGTTGAGCCGATACTTGCGTTGACTGTGATTCGCACTTTGGCGACGCTGTGTGGCAGTGTTTGGTGACTCACTATGTGACAAGCGTGCACCACATCCCCGTGGCCGAGCAGCACGTCGCCCCACATGACGAACAAGCAGCAGACGGAGGGATGCGAGCTGTTCCCTGCCGGGCCGCCGTCCTCGCGCGGGAGAATCTCATCGCCACAGTTTGAATGGGTAAGAAGAGAATACACAGTTCAATGAGCCACATTAATTTATTTTCTCCACCAGACGCTCGAGGACATTTACGAGCCGGTCCAGCCACTCGTTGATCCCCGCGATCCCCCTGATGATTTCTTCCTGCGATTGAAGGACCCCCTCCGCGAGGACCCTTCCACTGCGTCCGGGTGGTCCAGCGGAAGCGCCGCGGCTGGTGGACGCTCCACCGCTTGTCGGCGCGCTGGTGCTGATGCTGGTGCTGGTGCTGGGGGCCGGGGTGGCCCGAATGCCACGGCCGACACATTGATTTCTGTGACACAATGAAAATATTGGTTCATTTCAATTCCTGCTTCTGTGTATCTGTTGCGTTTACATCTCTCTCCACGGTATCATAGGTAATGTAATCCAGTATTTCGAGGTCAGTTATGCACATTACAGTTGTTTATTGCATAAAAAGTTATCGAAAAATGAAGTTAAGGGCGAAGTATAAATCACGTCTAAAAATAGACTGAATCCCGACGTTGAAATGAAGTATAAACTTAGACTAGACGTCTAATATACGTCTTTTGCTCAGTGGGATGACAAAGCATGTGGACATTTGTGTGACACGCCACTTACCCTATAATAATAATCGCCACCACCCGCTGCTCAAACGGTGTGAGGGTCTCCTCCCCCGGACCCCCACCTGTCTGGCCAGTACTCCTCCGGAGGGCAGATGTACGCCGCTTGACCTCCACCTTGAGGTCCGACCACTTTTTTTTAAATCTTCGCGGGGGTGCTTGTCTCGGAACCCACCGCATTCACCCTCTCGCAAACTTTCTCCCACTCCAAGCGTTTTTGTTTTGCACTGACGCCACTGGACAGGCTGCCAAACAAAACACGCTGTCGCTCCTCCACCTCCGCCACCAGCACCTCCACCTCGCACGCCGTAAATTTAGTTTTTCTTGTCATTTTGTCTGCGTGTATGAGTTCCACGCAAGTATTGATACATAAGGCCCCTGGGCACTACAGTCTGTACGCATCCTTCGAATGAGACCTCCTTGCTGCCATTTCTACTGCAGACAGTGGCTTTGGGCTTGTATAAATGGATTTTTAAGAGTTTACAGTGGGATTAGTTTAGTTTGTTCTGGTTTAAGAGCAAGGTACTCAAAGGGAAGAGTTAAGAGTTAGAAGAAGGGAAGAAAGTAACTAGAAAGCAACCAAATTAAGAAGAAAGAATAAGAAGAATCTTCAGTTCAATTGTGAGTGAATTGAGTGTGCTGCTTTATAGATTTCTGTTACTGACACAAGACCTTTGAAAGAAAATATTAAAAGATATTTAGTCAATGAGTCATTTATTATGTCTTTTTTTTATTATTTTGGATGTAAGTCTAGGTGGGTACAGCAATGACAGGGTAGTACAGGTATTCTGTAACCTCACCACATTTATTTTTTAATTCATTGCAGCATTCCTGATAATTGGCTTACTGTTTGCATGTACACATCAATTGAACTGGACAGAGGGCCATCAGAGGGCTGGACTTCAGGGACCACAACATCTCGCTGTCGGTGACCACAGGGTCCAGTCCAGTCCACTCCATACTCCAAATCAACCTGTAATTAAAGGGTAAAAATACAAGGCTGTGAAGTTTTGCCATAATAGGTCATTAAGTGATTGTGGTTATTATCTAAAGACCTGAAAGCAATGTTCCATGTGTTCATTTTATGTTCACATAAAGGTAGGGCTAGTTACTGTTCATAGAAAAAAAAATGTATGTATCCACTAATAAAAAACAAAAAGGTACAATGTAGCCTCTCAGAAGGGCTTGTTGAAAACTACCCTTATTAACAGTCAATCTATTATTACAAACAGAATTACTAAATTCTTACCTGCATTGGGTCCTGCTGTGCATCATGCTCATGAAGTGACCACAGTTGAAGTGGGGACTGATTTCCCTCGGTTTTCAGTCAGTGGCAGTTCCAGCCCTGCTGGAAACTCTCCAGGTGCCTCTGAATGTGAGGCAGAAAGCACCAGTGTAGACCATAAAAATGCACCTCATTGTCTGGATTTAGGAAACCTTCTGTCTCAAGGTTGGTAAAGATAGTGTAGAAGAGATCCAGTACACCCACATAAACATCTCTCCAGAGCCTCTCTATTCTAATGCAAAAAAGGAAAACTATGTCATTCTCTGATCACATCTGTATTAATCTAGCTGTAAGCATGTAGCATACGTCATCGGCTATTCACAGTATTATGCAAAATTCATTTCAAAATTAAGTTTTATGTTCCTCATATGTGTCCCAGGGGCTCTAAACATAACGTAACTTGTTAAGTACAATAAAAGAAAATAATGAAATTCAAATGTAAAGATGAATGCCATTATGCCTCGCATATGCTTCAGTTTCATCCGACAATTTATATTTAGAATAGAATCTTTTATTTTCACCATAAACACTGTCACCCACACGAACTGTGTGAAGCAGTTTTGCAGCTCCCCATGAGAGCAAAGCAGAAAAGATAAAAGCAGAGTCAATAAAAAATAACAATTACATAAGACTCGTAGTGGTGCATTTTTGTGCGAAGGGTGCAGAGAGACCTGTCAAGGTCAATGTGCAAAGGGTGGAGGGGGTTATTCCAATATCTCAAACAAATTTGTTTGAGATAATGGGTGATAAAAATCCTGCTACAATCTCTTGGTTTCAGGATAATGCCACAGAATACGTTCTGCCTTGACTATGCCATCATGATAGAGCCTAAAAGAAACATTAGACCCTTTCATAACTTCTGAGGAGAAACTACTTGTTTCCTTGTTTGCCATATTTGGGGCGCACATGAATCACGTGGTGTAGTAGCGGGTCACTGGCGGTGGTGAATCAGGTGTTTCGCCGGCCGGCTTTAATGACATTGAGGGGGTGAGGGGGGAAGTCGCACTTTTGTTGACCACTTTCCTTCGTTTTTACACAATTGCCTTTTTGGACATGGATTTAAGCCTTTGTCGCTCTGTCCATATTTTTCTGATCAATAAACTAATGGAAGATGATTGCAAAATGAAGATTGGAGTCATGGATCAGCGCGTCCGGGAGGTAAACTTCCCCTACGCTTAGCCTCTCGGTGACTATAAGCTTTTGGATATGATAGTCGCCGCAATAAAATGTTTCCTTTTGAATCTAGCAGGGTTTGAGTACAGGGTGGTTCAACATCAAGATTGCGTGTTGCCCTCTCACAGCTGATATCTTCATATATCAACTTCCTTCTTTTTTTTTATAGATTAATACAAACAAAGATTATTCTAAACCTTAGTTTACAAAACAGGACAGAAAGTGTGTTTTCAATGCTAGGACTATTCTCTGTACTGAAGAAGCACTGAAATCAAGAGATTGTAGCAGGATCTAAAGCAAGACTGTGCATGAGTTTATTCAGACAGTTGAAATACAAGCTACTACCACATGCCAAACATGAACACAACCAGATCAGCCTGCTTAAGGTTTCTTTAATAGTGTGATTCACGCAACTGGATGGCCCAGCCAGGCTAGGTCAGTACTAGATTGAAAATGATCACAAGAGGTTGGCCTAATTATCTGCTGCCACCTACTAATGTGAGAGTAATATAATAGAAGAATAGAATAGAATATTCCTTTATTGATCTCCCATGGGGGAATTTTTTTTTGCCACAGCAGCATCACAAACAAAGTGCAAAAATGAAGTTATAGAAATAAAGATCGTAATATTAAGAACTTATATAAATGTTATGATTCAGAAAAAATTTAGAAAAAGGAAAAAAGGGATAAGAAAAATAAAAACTATATACAATATACACAATTTAAGTACCATAAAAAAGTGGTGGTGTGAGTCCAGTTTTATTACAGTTCGTTGTAAAGTCTTATTGCAGAAGGGAGGAATGACCTGCGGTAGCGCTCCGTTTTGCAAGGTGGGAGTCTTAGACTGCTGCTAAAGGAGTCTGCCTTTGTAATAATAATAATAGCCGACCTTTGTAATGCTGTCAACGAGTACGGACACCCGGCTCGTTTTGGTTGAATTTAATGTAATTGGATTT